ATCTATCTATCTATCTATCTATCTATCTATCTATCTATCTATCTTATTTGTTTTAGATTTTTAATTCCGCGCTAATTGGTGGCGGTAGGGGAAGTATCTTGTAATAACAGTGCATTTGGACGAGGATTCGGGTTTTCGCATCACGCTGGTGCTTTCTTAAAAAAAAAAAAAAAGAAAAACAAGAAAACCCCCAAGCATTTTGTAATGTTGCAGATTACGGATATTATGCAGGGGATTAGGTCTTTATTAAAAAAAAAATAATCCCAGTACTAATTTTATCATGTGTCTGTTTGCTTGATGCCTAACCTGTGCATGCCTTTTAAAAATGCCGTGTTTGCATGTAAGCTGCTGTAGGTGAGAAAACGCCGTATATTGTACAAAGAAGGGAAGAAGGAGCCTCTCTGCCAGAGGTTACGTTTATTTCAGCTCTGCGACGAATCCAGATACTCGGGGAAAACGTGCTTTTGCGTTTGAATTGTGGTTAGAATACTTCAAGAAGCATCAGGAGTTGTTGATGTCATTTTTCTACACAAGTGTGAGATTAGGGTTGAATTCTCAGTAGGAAGGTGAATTGTGTTAAATGGAGTAGTGCATTAGAGTTTTATGGGTTTCTTTTCCCTTCAACAAGATCTTCCTATTAAGAACTGTTAAATCTTTTAATAGCTTTTAACAGCAAGGTCTGACAGGAACAAATGCAGGTGTATGCTTTTGGGGACTTCCAACAGCTGGATCTTTATGTTAAGTAATGAACAGAAGCTGGAGAAATCACCGCTTAATGTTGCAAACGGTGTATTAATCCTGAAAATATAATAGAAACCCTGGATGGGCTGACTGGGTGTGTGTTCGTCTATTTCCAACAGATCGCTCCTGTCATGTTTTTAGTTTTTATTCCATTTTCTTTCTGTTTCTTCCAGGGAAATAAGATTTTTTTTTTTGTGTTAGTTTTTACCTTTTTTAATTTGCAATGGTAAAAGGATCAGTGGAAGCCATAAGGTAATGAGGGCTTGCATGCATAACCTTTCAGAATTACTTTAAAAATATTTGCATTTTCTCCTTTTAAACACAGGTAGTTCAGAATTTCTGGCTTTAAAAGCTAGGAAAACCGTTGTCAGACGTAGTCCAGGCTAGTTCAGAGTGCTGTTTCTTCACAGCAGAAATTACTTAAAGTATTTATTTTTATTGCTGGAGTGAGAGTAAATTCATTACGTCCTCAGTGTGACCCTTAGAAATACTTCCTTATATTTATGGGTTTACATCCTCTCTTACAGATTTCTTTTTTCTCTTTTTTTTTTTTTTATTTTTGTACCGTAAGGATTGGTATGCAACCTAGAAAGAATAGTCTGGCAAGACCACAATTTCTTTGATTATTTTTCAAGTCATTATTATTTTTTTCCTCAAAATAATTGTTATAAAGGCAAGACATCAGTGTTATTTATAATACGATTTTTCTATCTAACCAGTAAGTGATTAAGATAAGAAATTTTCTTAGTTCTAAAAATTAATATTTTTTAGTGTATAAAATGGGTTGTGTCAAATTAAAAATACTTACCATTAACTTACAGAACACAGGTTTATAAATAAATTGTTATTTATTTTTAATTCCCACGTGTCAATCGCCCTGTGTATTGTATAATTAAGTAGACAAATTGTTTGCTTTTTGAAAGAGAAAATTGGAATATTTGTCCAGAATTTGAATAGGAGGCTTCTCTTTTTTTTTTTTTTAAATAATCATCTGTGTGTGTACTCTCTATATGTGTGTACACATATTAGAATATGCTCACTCGTCATGTGTCTTTGCAAAGCAGATGTTGATTGGCCCCTATGCCTATAAGGAACTATTGTGCTCTGAACAGAGAAAAAGAACTGACAGCAGGCTACAACATCTGAGGTGCTTGTTCAGAAAATTCTTGCCTCAGCATGGGTAGTTTTTGTAATGTGCGGAGCTGTGGCTCTAAACTGACTTCTGTGTTTGTCCAGCCTATTAAATTATTTAAGAAAATTTGGCTTCCATTTCATTTAATTACCTTCCCTAATTGTGAGACATGATGTAAGCTTGCAAAAGAGGCCTCTTTTTTCTAAAGAAATGCACGTTTTCAAAGCAGGTGAATATTGCTCACACGGATACATTGATTTGATGGTAGGGAAGTTGTGTGATGCTAGCACAATACTTTGTCGTTCGGGTCTTTTGATTATTGATTAATCCTTGGCAGTGTACAGATATTTAGAGTCCTGAGGCTCCTTTTATTTTTCATTTCTGATTTGCACTGCAGTAGCTTAACACATTAGCTGGCCTCTCTGTGTGTGCTTTATATAAATCTTTCTTCTTTGTGCACATGTGTAAGATGTACTTACACCTACACAGAAGGAGAGAACCTGTGTCTTTTCAGGAGTACCTGTATAGCATAAGGTATACAGCAAGTTTTAAAACCAAAAATCAGTTGAGCTGCTCTGAGTTTGTGTATAATTTGTTTTGCACAGGAGAAACTCTGAATATGCCTGATTCTGCAGCTCTTTTTATGCCAAATAGATTGTCTGTATTGGGAGTTCTGGCCAAGTCAGGGCTGCAGAATCATGTCCTGTGCCTGAAAGCCATTAAACGACTGTTAGTGTGGTGAATAGATTCTTGATGTCTCAATGGGAGAATAAAATATATTTTTCCCTGTGCATTTTCAAATAAACAGTTTAGTATTCACATAGCTTCTATTTAGAAGTAGCAAATAGCAATATTCACAGTTAGTAGCATCTATATATATATTACGACCATATATTTGACACTTTGTGGTTTGGTGTTCAGTTATTGGTTTCTGTAGTAGTGCTTATGCCTACATGTTGAACAGCAGGACCCTGTGTATGAGATACAATAAAGAAAGAGAGATGCTAACCCGTCTACTCTATTACTGCTTCCATCATGTAAGGATTCTGCAACTAAGCAGTCATTTACTGTCTTTTTGACATTCTGATCTGAATCTGTGGTGATGAAAACTAAGGCTAATCCATTGCTAAATTTTCTAGTTATATATGTAAAATAACGTTTTTGAAATTACTGAGCACGGTCTGTTAGGTGATGCTGGTTCATTCTGAAGTCGTATCTTTGTTAAAACAAGATGAAATTTGTGCAATGAAAACAAGTAGCTACTGATAGGTCTCCCTCTTTCTTTTGCGCTTCAAATATTTTATTACAGATATTTTGACGTTCTCATTGTTAGCGTGAGAATGGCAGTAGTTTATTTATCCTTATGTCCTTAAGATTGTACCTGTGCCCTAACTAGTACATTTCAGTACTTTTTCAAAATGTGCCATTTATCAGGAGGCTTTGAAGACTCTCTGTGGATATGTAAAGTAGTGTTGCCACACTCGCTGTGCATGCATGCTCAAGGCTGCAGAATTCAGTAGCATGTGTTTGTGGTAGGCTAACTTGCTAGAATATATTTTAGAATTGTGATTATTAAGGTACTTGGGAAAAAAACTTTTTTCCTTTCAATTTTGGGGCTATTTACATAGTGTTAAATATATGTTTTGGTACGATTGAATGAGGACTTTAATTAAACTTAAATTAGAAGTATACCTTAGTGGTTTTCAAATTTGTTTTGAAAACTGGTAAT